GGTGAGTTGCTGTGTATCCTGGTGAGGTGGGAGGGAGTTTTTGAGAGTGAATCTTTGATTTCCTCACTTTAACAGCAGCAGAAAATAAGCAGAGGGGTTTTTTTTTCAGCCCATGTTCAGCTGCAAGTAATGTGTATTTCCTGGAAGAAATGGCAGCTGGATACACACAAGGCAGTGGGCACGGCCCCAGGAGGGTTTGGACAACGCTCTGAGGGACAGGGTGGGATTATTGTTGTGTCTGTGCAGGGCCAGGAGTTGGACTGGATGACCCTTGTGGGTCCCTTCCAGCTCAGGATATTCTGTTCCGTGATTCTGTGATTCCCTAACAGGTGTTTCTGCACTCAGGGAAGCAGCAGGAAACCCTTCCCGAGATAACAGCGGTGTGGATCCAGCACGGCCACCTTACAGCATCTGCTTCTGGGATCATGTCCCCTGAGCTTTTCTCCTTAAATGTGAAGTGGATGAGCCCTGGCTCCCCCCCTCCAACATCCTTTTATTGCTTTTAGACTGACTTTGAGAGAGGGCAGGAAAAGAAATCTGAGAGAGGTGAGATCCAAGGTCAGTGCTGCTCACCCAGCTCTGTCATCCCACTGAGCTCAGAAATTGGTGTTAACACCTCCTGGAAAGAACAACAAATATAGAAAGAGAACCTTGCTCTCACACTGGGAAGCAGACCCATTATTGGGTCTGGCAGGACAGCAAATCCACTCCAATTCCACCCCCTGTTCAGCCCAGCTGTGGTCCCACCCCTGCAGCATCCTGCCCATCTCCCACAGCACGCACATGAAATCGGCCTTTTTAGGCAACTCCTTTCCTTCAAAAGCTCCCAAAGCACCTGTGTATTTCTTGTTCCTCTGCTATTAGAAATCTGCTCTTACAGAATGTTCTTTTTTTCCCCTCTTGTTCTATAACCAGCTCCTTACATCAGGGCTTTGTGGTGTGGAAAGCACAAAGAAGTTCAGAGCCTTTGAGACGCTCCCCCACCCCCTCCATTGATGATTCTCTTCAGTGGGATTCACAAAATCTATTATTGCTGCTGCAGTTTGCCACGCTGTGACTTTGGAGAAAATTCTGTGTTGGCACTATTGCTTCCTTGTTATTCTTTCTGTACCAGTGGAAAAAAAAATGAAAAATTCATTAAAAACAGAGAGGAAAAAAAAAAAAAGAGGAGAAAAAAAACCCCACTGGTATTTCGTTATCTCCCAGCACAAAAATCAAATGTTTAAGATTGAAATCAGGGTGATGGGGAGAGAAGGGTGAGAGGGTTAAAGGTCTGAAGGATTCACAGCCACACATGCAGTGTCCTGGACAAACAGGCCAATAAAAAGGACCTGTCATCTCCTTCACAGGGTCCCACTTATCAAATTAGGAGCCAGGAAAGGGTCTCACAGGAGGATTGGCTTTCTTGGGGATGTTTCAGCAGGCAGGGACGCCTTGGAGGAGCCCTGGGAGCACATGGGGGAGCCCAGGGAGCTCCCCAAGGAGGGGGCTCTGCCTTTGGCACTGCTCTCACAGAATCACAGAATAGGATTTCCTGAGCTGGAAGGGACCCACAAGGATCATCCAGTCCAACTCCTGGCCCTGCACAGACACCCCAACAATCCCACCCTGTCCCTCAGAGCGTTGTCCAAACCCTCCTGGAGCTCTGGCAGCCTTGGGGCCGTGCCCACTGCCCTGGGGAGCCTGTTCAGTGCCAACCACCCTCTGGGGGAAGAACCTTTCCCTGAGATCCACCCTGAGCCTGCCCTGACACAGCTCCAGCTGTTCCCTGGGTCCTGTCACTGCTCACAGAGAGCAGAGGTTGCAGCTGCCCCTCCTCTGCCTCTCTTAGGAAGCTGCAGCCCCCGATGAGGTCTGACCTCAGCCTCCTCTTGTGCAGCTGAACCAGCCAGGTGCCCTCAGCCACTCCTTGTGGGCTCCCCCTGCAGAGCCTGCAGGCCTGGCAGTTCCCCATCACCCCTGTTCCTGACAGGTTGGCACCCACAATCCCCACATGGCCCCGAGTTCCCACAGACTTCCTTGTCCCGTTTCTCCAAGCAGGGGGGCAGGGGCAGGAGGTGGTGGGGAGAGGACAAGCTCAGGGAAACTGAGGCAGGGACAGGCTCTGCAGCAGTGGGACCCCAGGACCAGCTCTCCACCACACAGATGCTCCACTGGGCTCCCCGTGGGCAGTGGTGTTGGTAAGGGGAGGCTCTGCAGGCAGCTGTGCACACTCTGGGCTTCTTCCAGGGCCGGCTGAACTTCCCAGTTGGCAGCCTCAAGGAGACCTTTTCATGTCTGGAGGGACAGATCCTAAGGGAAGGCACAGCCAGAGGAGCTGGGCCATGCCTTGGAGCCCTTTCTCACCACTGGAACCACGACAAAATTGCCCTGTGTAGTCCTCCAGCCTCACCAGCAGCCTGTGACTGCTGTCCAGGGCACACACACCATGGGCAACCTCAGCTCTGCAGGCTGGAGCTCCCACCCACCCTATCCTGGGATGAGGTGGACAAGGAACATCGTCCTGGTGATGGAGGTGGACAAGAAGCATCGTTGGTGGTTCCTTACCTGGAATCCCACACCACCCCAGGTGCCTTGGTGCTGCCAAGGGCTTTGGCTCCCACAGCACCCCGGCATCCAAATCAGGGCATCACAGCCCAGAGGGGTGGCTTTGGAAAGCTGTGAAAGACCAGCTGGATACCTGGGCTCCAGGGAGATCAGGGGTGGGTTGGACTCTACCTGCATGCCAGTGACAAGGGGCAAGACCTCCCTTTACAGTGGGAAAGACCCCTCAGGAGTTTTTTCCTGAGACCTGTCCTAATATCCGTAGCAATGACCTGAGAAGGGGACAAACTGCACCTCAAAATGAGATCCTCAGGGATCCTTCCAACCTGAGCTCTCCAGGGACCCTGTGGCTCCCCATCCCTCTTCCCAAACACGCTGCAGGTTTGCTCCATAGCTGCAGCTTTTTATTCTCATGACAGGTCTCGATCTCCACCACTATCAGTGTGTTATTTTCCATCCCATGAAGGGGACAACCTCCAAAATAATAGTCTAAATATTTTTTTGAAAACAAAAATGGCAAAACATTTCCCAGCATCTCTGCTGAGGAGTGTCACAGGGGAAGAAAAATTCTTTTCGTGATCAAGAGACTTAACTTCAAAACACCCAAACTGCACATCTCCACGGGGCACCTTTCTGCAGGGTTATTAATAAGAAATAATTGTTTTAAATGCAGAAAAGTCTGTGTACTTTCTATTCCCTTCCAAAAGCCCTGCATCACTTGTCCTTAATGAATAATGAAAGATGCTTTTGTATTGCTTCCCAACCGTAGACTTTCAAGTGATTTTTAAGCAATAATAAATAAGACTTTAAAGAAAATCAGGGTTTGATGGAAACTGAATTCTGGACTAATAAGAGAAGCACCTGCTGTTGCACAAATTTATAGACATTCCTGGGGCTTTGGTGGGTGGAGAATTTTGGTGAAAGCTCTGAATGTCCCAACACTGGAAAAATATCACTAAATGATTCTGAAATGCTGTAGCACAGCTCCATAGGAATTAGAATTTGGAGGCCCTTTGATCCTCCTTCTGGAAGGGAACCAGGAGACTGCCTTGCCCAGGATATGATACCCTGAACTCAGCACTGTTGTGATGCCCTGCCTCCCCTACTCTGAGGGGGAATTTATCCTGGGAAACCAAACCTGAGTGACCAACCCAACCTTCAGAGGTATCTTCTGAGCACCTCATCACTCCCACCAGTCTCCCCAGGAACAACCCCCAGGATGGGTAGTTTTGTGTAACTGAGCACTTAAACACCATCAAAGTTCTACTGGGATCTGTGGGGAAAACTTCAAGGCGGATTTGTCTCTGCCTCAATTGTCAGTTAATCATCTGTGCTGTGGTTTTCATCCCAGAACTGTTGTAATGGGAAAAAAAAATTCTTTGTGGAAAAGGTTGTCCAGTGTTGGCACAGCTGCCCAGGGCAGTGGTGGAGTCACCAACCCTGGAGGGATTTAAAAGGTGTGTGGATGTGGCACTTGGGGACATGGTTTAGTGATGGGGGAACAGTTGGACTCAACGATCTTAGAGGGCTTTTCCAACCTTACTGATCCTGTGATCCCATGATTTTATGACTGTGTGCACTGTGATGGGTCACTCCTGCTGTTCACTAACACACCTCAGACAGCGGTTGCACCAAATTATTTGCAGTAAATGTCTCGGTGACCTGAACACCATTCCCGTGAGCCGGGACCGCCCCGCGGGAGCTTCTGGAACGCGTGTGCCACCTCCAAGGGATGCTGTGCCCGCGCTACTCCCTGAACCCCTCTGCCTGTGCCCGTCCCCCCGGTGCCAGCGCTCCTAGCGCAGGCTTCCCACGCGTTTATGGAGTGACGAAATGCTGCACGTTCATTCTGGTCGGGAAACATCAGATTCCCAAGAGAACGGTTCTCTTCCCGGTGAGCGCGGAGGAGCGAGCGCAGAGCCGAGGATCGCTCTGTCACCGTGAGCACCGCGGCTGGACCCCCCGCTCGGCTCCGCGGGGACGCTGCGGGAGCGAACTTCGGCTGCGGCTCCGGCGAAGCGGGGGTAGGGAAAACGCGAGCGGCGCCGGTGCGAGCGGTGCGAGCGGCTGCTCTGCAGCTCCGGGGCGCGCCGCGGGACCGAGCCCCGCCGTCACCGGCCCCGGGACCCGCCGAGAGCCCCGCAGCGGGACCCGCAGCGGGACCCGCCGCCCGGAGCATCCCCGCGCTCCGGCCCCGCCCGGCCCTTCCCCGCTCTGGACTCTTCCACCGCTCCGCCCGCCGAGCGGGAGGGATCGGGAACCGCGGGATCCGCGGCGCTGCCCCCGCCGAGCCCCGCCGGCGCTGCCCGGCCCCGCACGGCCCCGCACAGACCGCTCGGTGCGGGACGCGCCGCGGGGGCGCGGCGGGCGCGGCGGGGGCTGTGCGGGCGTTCTCCGTCGCTGCCCCGCGCCCCCCCCGGCGCGGGGCCGTGGTACGGTCGGCGGGAAGGAGCCGCGGTGCGGGGCGGTGCGCGGCACTGAGCCGGCGGCTCCCGCGGGCGACGCGGGACGGGCCGGGCCCTCCGTCCGCTCCGCTCGCTCCGCGCCGCGTCCCCCGCACCGCATCCCGGCACCGAGCCGGCCCGGTGAGTGCTCTGTCCCGTCCCCCGGCTGCTCCCCCGCGCTCCTTGCCGTGCGGTCCCGCTGGCAGCGCGGGTGTCCCCCCCTCCCCGCCCCCCGCCAGCGAATTACCGCCGCGTGTAGTGATTAATTTTCATTTTCAGTTTTCTCTTCTTCCGCCTGTTTTCTTGTGTTCGGCTCGGTTTTCCCCCCCATCCTGAGGCGCGTTTAGCGGGCGGCGGGGAGGAGCGCGGGGATGCCGGCGCCCGCGGGATGGAGAAGGCGTGGGAGCGGCTGCCGGTGGGTCCCGTCCGGCCGGGGCCGGGGGCGGCTCCGGGGCTGAGCCCCGCGGGTCCCGCACACTGATGACGGCGGTGCCGGGGAGGGATGTCCGCGGTCGCGACTTACTTTGTGTCTCCTGCCACCCGGAGATGCTCCGGGGCTTTGCGAGAGGGGCCGGGAGCGGCTGCAGAGGGATAAAACAGGCGGAATATCGAGCCCGAGCGGCGGGATGAGCCGCCCCGACCGGCGCGGGTGGTGCCCGGGCTCAGTCCCGCTCCCCGCGGGTCCGTGCGGAGCCTGCGAGCGCTGCTGGAGCCTGCGGAGCCTTCGCTGTAGGGATTATTATGTTTAGGCTGCTGGTTTCTGTCGGTATCTGTGTTGGGGCTCCCCTGGGAAGTGTCGGAGTCATCATCCCTGGAATTATTAAAAAGGAATGGATGTGGCACTTGGCGATGCGGCTTAGTGGGCATGGGGACACTCGGTCAGAGATTGGACTTGATGGTCTGGGAGATCTTTTCCAACCCTAAATGATTCTGGGATTTGGGGTGATGTGTGAAACTCCAGGTCTTAGTCCCGGCTCCACCAGAACGGCTCTGGTGGATGTGAAAGTGTCAGATTTGGCTGTGCCTTTGGGAGGGTGTCCAGCGACTGATTCCTCTCGTTAGACAGCCCGAAGGCTGGGACACAAACTGCCGGGATGGAGAACAGTGTGGATGTGCACTTTTGTTTTCCTGACTTGCTCCTGAAGAGCAAGAACCCACCTGCAGGAACGACCCAGCTCAGCCCTGGTTGCTGCAGTGCTTCAGCATAGAGCCCTGGAATCACTGAGGTTGGAGAAGCTCTCCAAGATCACCAAATCCAGCTGTTCCCCCGGCACTGCCAAGCCCACCACTAACCCGTGTCCCCAAGTGCCATATCTACACATCTTTTAAATCCCTCTAGGAATGATGACTCCACCACTTCTGAGGATAATTTCTGGATGCCTTTGGTGTGGGGCAGGGCTGGGCTGTGGGGCTGAGCTGGGAACCAGCCCACGCTGAGCTGTGGCTCCGGGGCCTTCCCACGCTCCAGTCGCCGCTCAGGTCTCTGGATTCTTGGGATTTTGAGGAGGCTGAAGTCAATAGCAGCACAACTGACTTGGACTTACTTTTAAGGCCAGAAAAAACAAGACTCTCTTATTTCATATTAAGGAAATAGTTGTCTTTCCCCTGCCCACAAATACCAGGGTGAGCGATGGCTGGTGCCAACGTTGGCTGGGCACTGAGGGAGCCGGGGTGGCAGCGCTGCTGGCTCTCCCCAAGCTGGCAGGGGCAGCACAAGCCTTCAGCCTGGCATGTGCTGTGGATCCCAGCGCCCAGGCGGATCCTGTTTTCTTTGGCTGTGTCATCAGAGGAGCTGTCACGGTGTGGAAGGGGTGGTCTGTGTCACAGGACCCTCCTGGTTGTCCCTGTTGGGAGGAGGAGAAGGGCTGTGTTCTTCCACAGGAGCCTCCACTCTTGGTCTCCCTTTGGCAGTTAGGGGGGAGATGGTGCTTTCCCTTTCGTTTTGCCCTGTCCTTTATTCTGCAGTTTGTTGGGATTTGGGCTCTTGACATGATTTTCTTCTAAAGGACAGGGAAGGAGCTTGGTTTCCAAGCGAAGCAGAGCTCCAGCATGAGGAGCATGCAGTGATGGGGTGTAAATGGAAGAACTGCGGGTTCTGGGGAGGTAAAGAACCTGTGCCATGAGCAAAACCCAGGCTGAGCCACAGCGGTGTGACCCTTGGTGACAATTGTCGCCAGGTTTATTGCTCGCGGTCCTGGAAGCCTTTTTGTGACTCTCGTCCTCAGTGAGCGCTTGGCCATGTGTGAAACCTTCCTCCAGGAGGGGTGGGTGTGCAGCCACACTCCATCAGTTCACTGAGCCCTGGAGCATTGCTGGGGTTTTACTTCCATCTCCAGTATTATCTTGACAGATTTCAGGGGAATGGCAAAGCAGACCAAGGTGGGCCTCTTAAGAACCACTTTCTTTAGAAAAGGCAGATAACAGACAGCGAGTTCTGGAAGGATGTTTTATTTAGGGATTGAAAAGGGAGGATTAAAGCTCTTGACAGAGAACAGTTTATGTGGAGTAAGTGATGAGACTTGATCATTCAGAAAAAGAAGACTCTTAATATGTTCCCATCCCCAAGAGAGCTTTCAGCTCTCCTTGTCCCAAATTATTCGATAAAAGCAACAGAACTTCTTTTGATTTGAATTGTCGGTGGCTGAATAAGGAGTTTTCAACAGAGAAGTAAACTTCCATCTGCCCCAAAAAAATGGCTTATGGCTATAAAAATCTGTGATATGCTGAAGGTGCTGTGGAGTTATCCAAGGTGTTAATTACAGGCAGTGGAAGGAGCTGTGTCTGTCTGGGAGAATTGCAGCTTTTCCTTCCTTGCCCCCTCCCATGAAGTCCCTGCCTTGCCTGGCACAGGGCTGTGCTCCTGGATTTGCAAAAGCACCAAGGCACTGCTTGCAGAATTACTGAAATAAAGTAGGTTTGTGGAGGGGAGAAGAAATAGGAATCAAATTTTAGGCTCAAGTTTTGATTCCAAAACAAGTCACTCATTCTTCTCACAGCTTGAGGTTTGTGATGGAAAGGTTGAAAACGCCCAGCAAGAAAAACAGGCTAGAAAAAAATATCTGAACAAGCTGAACAGAGTGAAATTCAGAATGAACTGTCATCAGAGAGTGTTTATAAACCTGCTGGAGAAACGGGAGGGAGGAACCATTCAGATCAATAACAAGTTCTTTTTTTTTGTAACTGTAGAGCTTTAATCATACAGTTTTAAAAAATAATCCTAAATGTGTGCTTTTTATACCTGTGCTGGTAGCTGGGGCTAAATCTGCAGAGTTCATGCTGATCTGGGTAATCTGAATCAAGCTGAATAGTAAAGAGGCTCTTAGGAGGATCTGAAACCCAGGAGGCATTTTTCAAACCTGAGTTATGTCACTTTTTTTAGAGGTGCCTCAGGCAATTGCATTTTAAGAGGACAAAGCTTTTGTTTTCAAGCTGGCCTAGAAAAATGCCAAGGATGAATCCAAAGTAAAGGCTTTCAGAAGTTGTCATTTGTGATTAAGTTGATTTTGCTGTTGTGCACAGAATGCTCTGCCTTCCCCTGCGCTGTGAGAACTGGGGCTATTTTTGTGTTTGCCACCAGTCCTGGTGTACCTGTTTAATTCAAGTAACATCACACAGCGGGGTCTAACCTGGAAGTGTGTGTTTAATTAGAAGGTCAGGTGTCTGCTGGCTCCATCTCCAATATAAAATTAATTGTGTGTGCTTTATAAAAGGCAGAATTGAGGTGACACCGGGGCAGGGATTGACTTAGGTGGGTGTTCTGCCGAATTTACGTCGGTCTGTGTCCGGTTTTTAAGATTTAAGATGCTGGAACTATCAAAGCCAAGGCTTGTAACCATGAGCAAAGGCTGTTTCCCTTGGCATGTCTCAGGCAATCCTTGGCTTGCAAAGAGACAAGCCTGCGTGCACACAGTGAATCTAAAGCTTTTCTTGGGGCTTCTCATGTTTCTTGCAGCTTAAAACGATCAGAAGGAGTATCCTGGGGTTGCCAGGCTGTTGGGCAAACAGGAGGAGCTGGTTCTGCAGAGCCCGAGCTGGCAGATACTGGGCAGGATGGAGCAGATGATGCTGGAGCATGGATGTGGAAAAGTGTGTTGCCTGCAATCTGTGCTGGGGTGAGCTGCCAGCCAGGTCCTCCTTGTTAGAGAGGTGAAATCCTGGGAGTGCTGTAAAGACTTCTTTGTCTTGAATAAGATGAGAACAGTTTTAGTCTGTCCGTTTTAAAACGTGACCATCTCAAAGCAGCGCTGGCTGCGTTAGTGCCCAGAGCTGCGTCACCTGGGCAGGAGGTGTCCCTGGGGCTCACCTCGCCCTGGGAACCAGCTGCCTCCTTGTCCTGGCATGGCCCTGGATAACCTGGGAAGGGCTATAAGGGCAGTGTGAGTCATGTTTTTGGCTCACGTCTAACACTGTCGCACACAAACAATCCTGTTTGTTCTGCTGCCTGTATTGCCCAACACGAGGAGCTGGAAGAGTGGATGGACCCTCTCTTACTGAGAGGGGGACCTGCTGAGCTGCTTTCCAAGCAGATGGATCCTGCAGGTCTCACACTGGCACCTCACAATCATGATAGTTTATTTTTTTAAAGCAAATGTTGCAACCAAATCCTGATGTAGAGCAAGTTGTGCTGGGGAGGAGCCTCTGAGGCAAGACTTGGCCTTGCCTTTGCAGGGCAGGTCCCTGATTGATTTAAGGCCTTCTGAGCTTTTGCTTCTCCTCTGCTGCTGGAGCTGCACGGCAGGGTGTGCCCAGCAGGATGCCCAGCTCTGTGCCAGCAGCATCTCTGCACCTGCAGCAGAGGATTTCCTTTACTGAACATCCACAGACTTGGCTGGTGATGCTGCCCAACTGTCCTTTTTTTATTTGTTCCAAAAAAGTCTGGTTTTAAAATAGAGAACATAATGCCAGGTTGATTTTTTTTTTTTCCCCCTAACAAGACTGAGGTAAATAGATGAACAACACCCCTGGGCTGTGTGTGTGTGAATTCAGTGGTTCCCAGGTGATGTCTGCAGCATCACCTCGATGTGCTGAGTGATGGTACCAAACAAAAGGTGCTGAGAAGAGCCACAGCTTTATCTGATGCTTTTGCAAGCGGCTTAAATTGCACCAAACACAGCCACAGTGGGGATAAATGTGAACTCATT